ATTTTAACCAGTAGTGAAGTGATGAATGCGAAAAAATGGAGTGCTGTGTTTATGCAAAGGCTTGCTGAAACTAGCTGTTTCAGAGAAGTCAGTGCTGACATCAGAGTTTGGATTGTCTTACAAGAATTTCAGGGAGACCAAGAGCTTCTTATCTGCAATTCTGTGGCGTGGTTTGCCCTTTGCTGGTCTGCTGAGGCTATCGTTTCATAGTTGCAGGTACCTCTGCTCACTTACAAAATCATGTTGACACATCCTGGGGGGAGGCTAGGATTTTTTTTATTAGTTGCTTTGAAGTATATGTCAAGAGAAGTTTCAGTGTTTGAAGAGTCACTACTAAATAACTTTTTCAGAACAGTTTTAGGCTAGTGAATTCCATTTGTGTAAGTGAATTTGTGCATCTACTGTTCAAAGTGACAGCTTCAGTGGTGGTGAAGGCCATGTAGGGACTCAAAAGAGGTAATATCTTTCTGTTAGGAAGAGGATCTAATGCTCTGTAACTTGCAAAAGAAAATCCAAATTTTTGCAATAGTTCCTAGCAGTCACTATAATAAAGGAATGAGTAACAGGAAGGCCTCTTCTTAGCAGCATGAAATTGAAATCAATTTTTCTGGCTTTCATTTTTATTTTCTTACATGCTAGGAAATGTATCCATAGTTGTTCTTTTATTAACCAAGTGGTTACTGGAGAGCGGAAAAACACCTCCGTGAGTCCATAGTAGGTAACTAAAAATTCATGTTATCACCATCACTTTATCAAGTGGTAAAATGAAGCAGTAGACAGGTCAAATCATTGCTGTTGTTCTTCCCTGGATGGCATTCGTTTGCCTTTTTGCCTTGTAAGGCTGCCGTGGTGGGGTCAATCTTTTATTTGTGTGTTGAACAAACTAATGCTTACAAGCAGCGGTTGTTTGGTGAAGGAGGCTGCTGGAGGTGAGTGATGCCAAATGATTACTTTTGGATGGCAAGACTTCAGACGCCACATGAAATTTGGAATGTCTCTGAAGTGACATCTGGAAATGGGACCCTTATGTGAGATCTTTTGTCTTACTTTCTTGCCTTTTTACATGTTGTTTGAATGTTGTTGGTTTTTTCCTTGACGGGGTTTATGGGTCCTATCCATCTGGGATCAATTAGGACTTAAAACTGTCCTCTGACAAACTGTAAGTTAAGCTTCTATTCACTAGAGGTGTGCAGGGAGGGTACCTTTGTTTAGCTAAATCACACTTAATGAGCTTCAAGATCATACCAAATCAGCATCTTCAGAGTCATGTAATCCAGAAACTTGACTGTGAAGTCAAGCTGTGGTACCAAAAGATGCTCTGATAAGGGTGCAGGAAACCAAAGCTGAAAGATGGCAACAATGCAGGACACCTGAAATTGTCTGACACAGGAGACAGCCACAGACTGTGAAAACCTGATTTACCTTTCAGTCCCAGCACCTTACTGTAGCGGAGGCACTGTATATTTGTGGGCCCAGATGAGATACACAGTGATGCAGAAGTTGTTGGTATTGCTGTATGACTACGAAATGCAGATCGCTTGTACTGTGCAAGAAACTGGGGGGGAATAAGGGTAATGTCATTGCAATGGATTTTCCTGAAGCACTTCCTTCAAGGTGATGTTTTTGTGATACATGATTGCATTTCTCCTAACTACTCCAAGTAATGACAGAACTGCATGGTTCCTCTTTTCTGTGGTCTCAGACAGCTGATCCAGAAATCATGATGCTTAATCATAGCATGTCGGAGAGCAGTATGTTTTGTTTGGTGAGGATGCATTCCTGCTCCGCACGTTAGATATGCGCTACTCTGCCGAGCGTCATGCTGAGCTGCAGCTGATTTCCCCCCCCCCCCCCGCCCCCCAGTTAACCAAAAACTCAATGTGTTACCATAAATGACTTTCTAAATGTTGTAGTTTATGGTGAAACATCATTTCTTAGAGATGAGTCACCTTCACAGAGGATAAGAAATTCCATAATCTTCATTTTGCTAATTTTAGGTACAGATCCAACGTGTTTCCCCAGTTTCCAGTTCTCCAGATGCACTCAGTAAAGACAGCAACGTCTGTCAAGAGAAGCGTGCATAGAGTGGTATTCACCTGTGACACCTGCAATTCCAGTGTTTGGGAATGATATGTGTGCATCTGCTTCAAAATTCGGGTATTTTTTTTCAACGCTTTGTAGTGCAGCAAGCTGTCAAAATCTCATTAATAAGAAGGCCACTCCTGTTTTTTGTGTTTCAGACTTTCCTTTTAATAGAGATTACATTTTCTGTCATAATGCCCTTTAGCAAAGTTCATTTGAGGATCCTGTTCCCTTTTTTGCAGTTCTTGAAAAACACAGGGCTGCACCCTGAACTCACACGGGTATTAAGTTAGGAGCCACCTTTGTTCGCTTCAATGGAGTCAGCCTGCTTTTGCACTGCTGTGAAAGCACAGTCCCCTCTGCACTTCATTATTGCTGAAGGACATGAGGTGGGTTGGGAGCGGGGGGAGAGTCCTTTTGCACAGTCCGACCTATTTTCAGCTGGAATGCTCTTAGGAGCCTAACCAGCTGGCAGAAAGTTGTAATCACTGTGTACGTCATGCTCAGGAGGCTGAGAAGCAAGGTGTGTGCAGAAGAGCCCTCCTTTTCCTAGCCAAATTGAGGGATCAGTGCAATATAAGCAACGAAAATGCAGCTAGGTGCAGAAGAGGAAATGTGAAATGGTCATAGGCTTAGGAATTTTTTACTAATCCTGTGTTTTGTATTTCTTGGAGAAATGGTGAAAAATGACTACAGGCATATTTCTGCTCTCATCTGCATTAAAGTGCTTGTTGGATTTTATGGGGTTAAGCTTTTTCTGAAATTTGTGTTCTACCTGGCATACACAGAACTAGCCAAAGGCTGAACAGACTTAAGATAATTTTTTTTTAGTTTTTCTATTCTGCTCTGTGATACTCCCTGGTAAAAATGATCATTTTCTTTCCTTTTTACATGTGTCAAACAGGATTCTAAGCATACCTCTGGTTTTGGTCTAGATAGTCTTCCCTAAAGTCTGCTTCATCTGTAATCTTTTCCCCATATTCATTATCCAAGAGCAGCAGCATTTCAGGATTAAGAGAAGAGAATAAATTTTGAAAGACACGAACAATGAGCCGCTGTAAAGTAGGTGCAGTGACACTGCTGCTCTTAAGCGTGTTTTGAGAAGAACAGAAACAAAAGTCTTATGAGATCTTATTTAAGTTACATTTGTGACAGCTCGTGAGACAGTGATGAAATATGCTGGTTGAGGATCTTGAGGCTATGATGGAGTTTTACTGAAAAACACTCCCTTCTTGGTCAAATAGCAAAGCTTCCCTAAGTCAGAAAAGCAGTAGTTTCAAGTTGATGCCGTTTCCTTCATCTGTAACGCTCAGTGGAAAAATTAGTGAATTTCAAAAAACGGGCAAACCTCTGTTTTTGAAAAGAAAACAGGAAGCCTGAACGATGTGTAGCTTGGTTCTTTGACTTCCAGTGAAGGCTTTCTTGGAGGAATGCTAAATCTCCATTTCATGTCCTCTCCATGAGTATAGTAGTAGAAATTTGGAGCAAGGAGTGGAAAGAATGAAAGGTTTACTAGCAAGAAATGAGTAGGAAAGAACAGGGGTCACTAGAAAGCTATATAAAGATGGAAAAAGTGATCCAAGAGCTTGGAAGATGAGACAGCTACATGTGACGTAAGGCACGCGGGGATGTGTTGAAATGTGAAGCGGGCATTTCAGGATGATGCTTTTTAAGAAGGAGGAATAATTTCTACAGTGGCATGCAAAGGCTGAGTTTAAATGAACAACACCAAAAAAAAAAAAAAAGGACATAACTGACTCAGGAAACCATGTGGAGTGCAACTTTCCTACCGGACTTACCTGTTCTTTCTTGGCTTGGTAAGTGTTGCCTTTGAAAAAATGAACCGGAGGCCAGGAAAGTTAGTAGCATTGTCTGTCATGGTCTCAGTTTGAAAAATATCAGTTAGGTTTGGGGTCATTTTTGGTATATTTGTTGGGCGCTGAATACACTTAGCGGAAGTGGTTTTCCGCCATGACTTACAGAATAGGAAATGGTAGATAGAGAGCAATAGGTGTCCCTCCAGAATCCTTTCTGTGGTGGCTAATTTGTGGGTTGTGTTGTATATGTCTGGCCCGGTTGGGGGGAAAAAACCTGCAGTAGTCTTCGTCTGGAATTTTTAAATGGGTTTAATTTCTTGGCCATTTACAGTTTTCTCCCCTTTTGTTTGGTTTTCTTTGCACAAAAGAATAGAAACATAAGCAGAAGCTGATCTAACCTTGATAAACGTGATAGTTATGGAAATAACTTCATTCTGTTGGATCATCTGATCAAAATTTACGCAGCAATTCGGTATGTTCACCTACAGCAAATCTGTGCCTATGCGGCAAAAAAAAAAGTATGGTTAAAATAAATCAAGGATAAGGATGTCCTAATGTTTAAGTTATTTTTCTTAACACAAAAGAAAAGTTCATGTGATCACTGAACTGTAACACAATAGTTGTTGAAGAAATAAATGTATCCTAAATTCCGGCAAGAAATTCTATGAGTACTCTTCTGTGAGGGTGTTTTTTTCTTTTGGTGTGGAAAAAAAACAGTTAACACGATTCCAATGCTCTGTAGGTGACCATCTTTCCTTGCAAACGTGTACATGGTCTATGCATTAGCCTTCTTGCTGTATTTAGTTTGTGTGAATTCTAGTTTGTGTGGTCAAGTGAATTGTTTTGCTGTTCTGGACCAAATTCCAATGTGCCCTTTGAAACTTCTGCAAATCTGTTGTGAATGGTCCTGCAAGCAGGTCAGGTTGTGCAAACTCACAGGCTGGTTTTACAGCAGCCGAGGGGCTTGTGTGTTGACTGCATACCCAGTTCTCTTGTTATTCTCAACAATTTTTTTTTTATTTCCTTCCTACTAGGAGCAAATGCCAGCATGACTAGGGTCTGAGGAAGTGCTTCTGTGTTCCTACCAAGGGTTTGCGGGTGCAGAGGAAGGGTGTAAGGACAGCAGGGACACTTTGAGCTACCATGGATATCCCCACCGATTTGGTGCCGTCCTCCATGATGTCCCAACCTGAGGTGATTGAGGTGAGTACACTACAATGAAACTCTGGCAGCTGAACTGACTGAACATCTTTCATACTTCCTCACTGAATCCTAGCTGCTTCTCCTGTCTCACTTCTGAGTCATCGAGGGGAATTTTTCCTGAAATATTATATTAAAGACACTCATCGTTTGCTAAGAATGTTGTTATGCTTTGAGACATGACCTTGCTGTGTGATATTACTATTTGTAGAAGAAAATATATGGCAAAATAAGATCTTTATTGACTCCATGTAGGTGGTCCCTGCACTATGGTTCGATTTTTATTGTGCCTAATGAATACAAAGTAGAAGAAGGTCATAATGTGGTTCAGTTGGAATAATACCACAGGAAATTTCAGGTTCAGTATTCTTACCAGAAAAGCTAAAGTTTTAAGCCAAAAGCAGCAATAAAATTAATAGTATACTTACAATTACTAACACACTAATCTTGCTTTCATGAATCAAAGTGTGTGTTTCAGACTTGATATTTATAAATTACTAAGTGATTTCTTCAGCTCCATGTACTGAACACCAAGTACTTGTGTTTTCTGGTGAAGTATATATTGCATACAGAAAAAGAGATGTTAGTAACAGTCAAGATTTAATCTCAGAAAAGCATTTTCGAAGTCCCTTTGACTTCATAGACATCCAAGTGTCTGTTGCAACTTAAAACTTTTAAGGATATATATTACTGAAGAGCGCACCACAGTTGATTAAGGTAGATGTCAGAAAATTGGAGATCTAATGTTTATTTTGCTTTTTTTTGTTGTTGTTGTTTGCTGGAGATTCTTTGGCTCAGGAAACTACAGCTCTTAGCAAAATGCACTGGTAAGTGCAGTAGTTCAGAGATCCCTGGCCCCTGTGAAGTTACAAAAAACATGTCCACTAATGGGTGGTGGTGTGAAGCAAGCTGAATCCAAAATGTGCTTTGGAGAAACTTCTTTATGTTCCCCTTCATCCTGTGTTTCAAATGGAGAACTAGTATATTTTAAAAGTATTTTTGTTGCTTTTCAAGTCTCTGTTGTCCCTGTTAGGGTCAGAGAAGGGTTTTGTGTCTTTACAGTGGAACAGAACACCTGGTAGGAGGTAGATGCTGTATGCTTGCGTCCCAGGCTGCCTGGCTGCTACAGGACTCTTCTCCCTTTCTGGAGAAAGGCTCCCCCAGGCCATCTCCTCACGTGCTCGGAAAGGCACTTGCACCCCTGTCTCCATGGGTTCTCTCTTCAGAGCCTTCTTTACGTATGAGAAATTTGTGTATCTAAGGATTGCTCTTAAGATAAATGCCTTCTCAAAGGGAAAATAAGGTCAACTGTGGTGCAAGAATGAGTGGAAGAAAAGCTCTCACTTGTAAAGGACTTGATGATCAGCACAGTCACCATTCTGTTGTACTTATGGGTGAATAAACGCACATGTCCTGTGTCTGCAGGGAGTTTCTGCTGAATAAACCCTGCCCTGGACTTGCATTGCTAGACCAAAGACCAGAGATAAATGGATGATTCTGGTCATTGACTGGTAATCCAGACAGCTCTCCCTCCACGCTTGGGTTTTAGAGACTGTGCTTCAATGAGATTTGACTTGGGAGCTGAAAAGAAATGGCAACAGGAAGCAAAGGAAAGACTGGTGTCTCGGTGTGGGAGATTATGGTAGAAAAATATCATTCTCAATCTCGTGTTGTAAAAATGGACTCAAATTTGATATCCATGTGGGCAGACTTAAATGCAAGCATGAATTCCCAGAGATTTCAGTAAACGATTGTGGATCTGATGGTTGATATAAGGCTTCAATCATATATAAAGGAGTAACAGCTCCAAACAGTCAGCTGGGAGACATGTTTATGTTTCTGAGGGTAAGGAAGAGCTTTTTAGCAGGCAAGGACATAGTGAGACACATAGCTAGAAACAAATCATTAGATGGAAGTATTGAAGTAAAGCACTTTTCAGACTGCAACTGCATGGGCTTGCTTTTCACGTTTGTGTTGACACAAAAATTAATTTTGGATATAGTTTAGAATTTTTTTTCTTCTGGAGGACATTATTTTGCCTTTTAAAACTGAGCAGATGCCACAGCGTGCTGCAGAAGACATTTAGAGACTAATGGTTTAAGGAAGGATTTTTTTTTTTAAACTTGGAAGTAGCCTTGCATGCCTTCTGCATGAGCTAGATGGCATCTCAGTTACAAAAAGAAGTGTTTTGCTACTTTACTTTAAACTTTCTTTATCTTTAATCTTCTTTTATCTTTTATCTTTAAACTTTCCTTTAGTATTGCCAGGATAGATGATTTCCTTCACATTTGGTCAATTTAGTCTTAGAAATAAATATTATCTATTTTGTATCCACATGTACGTATATGTACGTATGTGTATACATCTCAGTAATAAATAATGCTCTGCCTATCATCAGTCCTTTAACTGCACAGGGCAAAGAAGAACAGACTCTTATTTACCATGGAGGAGAATCCCAGAGACCTCAGCAGGACCTTTTACAATCCAAAGCCCACCCTGACAGGTTTTTGCTTGAGCTTGAATCCTACAGATGCTTGTGGTGGCACCACAATGAGGGAAGTTCCTACTAATTTAATTGCAAATGGTATCTTTCTCAAGATTTGTCTTTGGAGTCAGGTAACAAAAGATTCACATTTTGGAAAAGTTTTTGAAAGTCAGTTCTTGATACCAGGTGTGAAATTGTTGTTACTGTTTTAAAATATTCTTATTGCTAGTGTGTCAACATAGGAAATGCTTTTGGTGCTCTCTACAACCCTCTACTGAGGCAACACATTTTCCACAGTCATGTGTCTTCATACCCTCCCGATGTACTGACCTGTCCAAAGATCTCTGCTCCCATCTTCTTCCCCATCACAGCATCCTGTTGCCAGACGTAAGGAGTGGTGATTAAGAGCACAGATTTAAGGCATCTTGGTCATGTTTAAACGAGAACGATAAGTCAAGTTTCAGGGTAGTTTACCTATCCATAGCTGAAATCTGGAATAGAAGATAGTTCTGGGACACCGTAAGTCAGAGAAGTCAATGAAACAAAAAACTTCCAGAATGTGCTTTTAGTTTTTGGCAACAAGGTTTTATTGTAAGGCAGAATCTAGTGATTTCAGATTAGATAAGCCATTCTGCTCCTAAACAGAGAGAAACAAAATGTAACAGAACTTTTTGATTTTTAAGTTGGGGATATTTTGTGGTACATGTGATGACTTCATGCCTCAGCTATGTATAAGCAAAATTATATCATAGAAACCTGATTAGTCTGATAATGCAGTAAGCGGAAAGTTAAGTAATTCTGTAAGAAGCATTTAGTATCCCAGAGGGCTTTGCTGTTTGCAAAAAGGAAACATAACAAGTAGTGATCTAAACTGATTAATGTACTCTCTGGAGTGATTAGCATCTTCTCTCTTTGTGAATGGCATGAAATGAATTCTGCAGTAAAAGCTTTGAAGAAGAAATGATTTGAGCTCCAGTTGCTTAATGAACCAGGGACTTCCAACAGTGCTTCAGAAATGCTTAAAACAAGAAAACAACAAAAATTCATCATTGTCTCTTGGCTTTTGCCAGCAGTGGATCCTACCAGCCAAATACTAGAAGTAAATGAGTATATTTAAATAACTGCCTTGCAGCTGTTCCAAAGAGAAATCCAGAGCAGTTTCCATTATAGCGGCCTTTCATGGCTGTGTGGTTACCAGAGCCAAAAAACCACTTCTCCCACTCTGTGCCATTGAATACCTCTCTTCTTTCCCTTTCTTCCTTTTGAATTAGAGTGGAAGAGATTTAAACTATCCTTGCCACAGAATGGTCATCCTCAGTAGTTTTTTCCTCTTTATAATGGTGCTTGAGAACAGACTCCTGTGGGTGGTGCAGCTGTTGTCACCCCTTTCCCCAGCAAAGCCCAACACGATTTGCATTTTGGATTTGGTGCCCAAATTTCTACAGCCAAAAAATGTGCTGATTTTTTTCTCCCCTTCTAGGGGAGTAAAATTAATCTCTTTAACAAAACAGACCTCTGGTGGTCATAAATAAGGTAAACGAGCGAACAAAAGGAAATGGTGAGACTGGAGGAAACAATTTGTGACTTGGGTATATCCACCCAGTTACAGGCATCATAGGGGAAACTTAAATACCAGTATGCTTTTTTTTTTTTAATTTTTATACTAGGTGAGATTACCAGGGATTCAAAATACATCTCCATTTTGTTCAAAGTAGATCAATACTGCCTTATAGGCAGCTGCTCAGTACTGTATGAACAAGTTGCTGATAGAGAACCCATTGTTGTCAGAACCCTGAGGGAGAAAGATTTTTCTCCTGTTTACATGGTTCACAAAGCAGTGATTGTTGTCAGAACCCTGAGGGAGAAAGATTTTTCTCTCTTCTGTTTACATGGTTCACAAAGCAGCGCATCAAAGCAAAAGAAACCCAAACTGCCTGCTGTATATTTCAAGAAAAAAAATGTATTTGCCGTGGTAAACACAGGATAGTCTTCTTATTTCCATTTGGAAATATCAATTTCCAGCCCAAAATGAAATTTGCTATGCTCATTAACATAATTTTGAAGAAGCATTTTGCTTGTAAACTAAACTCTCCCAAGTGCTCCCTTTGCTGGTTTGCTTGGTGAGGAGTGATGGAAGGTGTGCCCTGGAGATGGAAGTAGCCCCAGTAGCCTACAGCATTTTGTCAGCATAAAGGCCAGTCTTTCAGCTGCTGGTGCCAAGAATTAATTCCCAGCTTGGCTCACTGAGCACCAAACTGGGCCCAGAGGATGCATGTTGGAATTCATTATGCATGGAAACTCCCTTGGGATGTTAGAGGTACAGATTTTTTTTTTTTTTCCTCCCGTTTCTTCCACCCTGATGGCTTCTAAAATGACCCAGATAGGGGACTGTGTGCTGCACCTCTCTCCAGAAAGCTCTTTGCAGGGCTGGGGTCTTTGGGGAAGGTCTGTCTTGTGCTGCACTCATCCTGCACAGCAGCCTGCAGGGACTCACAGCAGGTCGATGTCTGGCTATGAT